GTGGCTGGGAGCGGCCACTGCACTCCAGTCTGGGTGACAGAGTGAGACTTCAACTCCAAAAAAAGAAAAGAAAATTCTTCTCATCTTAATCTCAGCAGATGCAAAGAGGTCAATGGAAGTCACTGCCCAAAGGCAGGACACAGCTGGAGACCCCTCCCTAGGCAGTCAGCACATTTTCATGCTAACCCTCCCATCACACACACACACACACACACACACACACACACACACACACACGCACACACACACAGCAGAGGCCTATGGCATACACTCTATGAGCTTGAAAGAAGTTATGAAAACTCAGGAACACCCAAAAACGCATCCAGCAACAGCATCATATGCCCTGCATATGAAATCAAAGTTCTACATAAGCAGCGAGGTGCCTGTGCTCACAAGGTGGGTGGGCAAGCAGAGAAGCCTGGGCTCCCACACACCACTGTGGATGGAGAAGGGCACAGTCTTTCCTCTTTGTACAAAAGGCCACGGACTGCAGATTCATTTATACAAAATGTCCAGAAATGGCAAAGTTGAGTGACAGAACGCAGATCCCAGGGGGCCTGGGGGCCGGGGCGGGGGTGAGACCGATGGCAAAGGGGCTGGAGAGAATGTGCGGAGTGACAGTCGACAACTGGATTATAGTTCGGATGTAAACCACGCCTCTCAGTAAGGCAGATTTTAAAGAAAAGAATATAAATTTTATTTTAAAAAGACTCCTGCACCAAAAGCAACTCTGACTTTCAAAAACCTCTCCCCAGCTTTTTCCCAACTTGGGCCTGGCAGAATGGCGCCCGCAGGGAAGGGTGGCGAGAAGCAGCAGGGCCGTTCGGCCATCAACGAGGTCGCGACCGGAGAACACACCATCGACATTCACAAGCGCATCCATGGAGTGGGCTTCAAGAAGCGTGCCCCTCGGGCGCTAAAAGAGATCCGGAAATTTGCCATGAAGCAGGTGGGGACTCCAGATGTATGCACTGATACCAGGCTCAACGAAGCCGTCTGGGCCAAAGGAATAAGGAATGTCCCATACCGTATCCATGTACGGTTGTCCAGGAAACGAAATGAGGATGAAGACTCACCAAACAAGCTTTGGTGGCCTATGTCCCTGTTACCACTTTCAAAAACCTACAGACAGTCAATGTGGATGAGAACTAATCACCGATCATGAAGAACATCAAAAAAGTTATAAAACGGCACGAAAAAACCTCTCCCCCAAAGGAGCCCCTGGGAGCTGGTGCTGTTGAGAGGCGCCCCAGCCCCAGGGAGAGCTGGCCTGAGGCTCAGCGGGCACTCAGGAGGAGGCCCCAGTAGTGCCTGCTCTCCTGAGCGGCCTGGGCATGCACCGGGTAGGCACCCACTGGGCCTGAGCCCCACAGCTCCTGGACAGCCTGCTCCCCGCTGCCAGGATACAGCATCCTCCTCCCGGTCCTTGTGTGTAGCGCCCAGCCTGGGCGGAGAGGGGGCTGCCCACTCTCCCCTAAGCGCACTCCACGCAGGCCATTGACATTCAGAGCACAGATCGGCTGATGGGGTCAAGTCCCCCAAAGTGGCTTTTGGACTCATGTGTCACAAATCAGTCTGGCGCCTTCAAACAGCGTGAGGATTAGAACATGCACCCAAACACCCCGAGCAGAGCAGAGCACAGCCACCCTGCCCACCCCTGTGTCCCAAGGAGGTCCAGCCCCATCCAGATGCTAATGTGCTTAAGTGGCTTAAGCAGCTTTCTCTGAATGGGAGAAGGCCGGGCAGGCAGAAGGCCATTGTGGCCACCCCAGGCCGCGGTTCAGGAAATTCATGGCTCTGTCTCCCAAAAGGCATCTGCTGGAAACTTTTTAAAAACCGCTTTATCTCACCACTTCAGGCGGGCTTCCAAAAGACAAACATCTGATGAACCCCAGGGCTGAGTAAGGGGCCAGCCACCCTCCGCCCCAAATCCTCCCCTGGAGCCGCCTCATTCACAGGTTTTAAAGAAGTGATCAGGCGGGCTGAGCCGAAGAAGCTGGCCCTTCCCTTTTTTGCCTTTCAATCCGGCAAAGTCGTGACCACTCATGCAGAAAGCTGCCAGGCTGGGCCTTTCCGGCTCGCCTACTTACGGAAGGGATTTTTCTCTTTTGAAAAGAGGAAAAAAATACTCCAAATGCTATTTTTAAAAAGCCATCTGAGACTTATTTCATTATTAGTGGCTGCAGGAAGGGGCACCAGAAAGGACGGGCCCAGCACATTGTCTTGTTGACTCTTGGAATTGAACGGGACCACTGCATACCAAGGACACCCACCTGTGTGTGGATAAGGAAATTCCTGTGTTTCTGACAGGGTACCCACAGGCCCAGGGCAGCAGTGACAGTCCCAGGGCAAAGGTGCCAGCCCAGGAGAAAGTCTGTTTTCTGTGTAATGGAATCAGGCAGTTTTTACAGCCTATTTGATTTACATAAAGCCACCTGGTGATCAGAGATGCCCTGACATGCATGTATGCAGTTGGCCCAAATCTGTCCCATCACCCCCTTAACTGTCACATACGCTCTGCCTCAAAGTTCAAAACTGTATTATGGGCAAATGTAGCCTCTCGGACCTGAAGTCTTTTAAATGCAATCTTGATGAGCTGGCTTAGGCAAACAAATATTGTCCTGTGTTCTCTGATACAAACAAATACTACAACACGTGGACACACACATGGGGCACGAGAGTCAACGAGACCTAAACTCGATCTCCAACCACAAAAGGTTGAACTCATGGCTTGACTCATGGCTCCTTCTGAAACAATTTATCTTTAACACCTGCAGAGGGGGTGGCAGGTAGCAATAAGCGCTTGACTTCTCAGGAATGTGACCCAGTCCAGGGATGGCCAGGAGCCCCTCAGCAAAGACCCAAGTTGGCGCATCCTTCTGGCCTCGAGTGGAGCCTGACCTGGGAGTGTGGGAGCCAAGGACAAGATGTATGCTTTAGAAGGTGGGTTTGCAAGTTTCATGGGATAATTTTTGGTCTATGGTGGCAAAAGGTGTATCAAGGAAAAATATATAAAAATAGATTTAAAAAATTTTAAAAATAGAAAAAGGTGAGGCAGCTTTAAACACAAAGGCACAGGAAGGTGCAGTTTCCTCACTTAATTGTAAGTTTTTAAAAGGTAAATGAGAGCTGTAATGCCTCTCCTGTGTGTCCACTTCAAGAATGAGTGGTATTTTTAAAACAACTATCCCATTAGCATTCACCAACAGCTTGAAAAACTTGGTTTCATGTGTAATCTGCTTTCAGAAACCAGGTTTTCCTCTGACGGAGCACCCTCCTGCACACAGTGAACTTCCCTCGACACAGCTGAAGAGGGACAAGCCCAGCAGCTGGCTGTGTCCTGATCGCCTTGAGAAAGTGGGCCACTTCCCAAAGAGCCACAGCCCGGGGCCAGGCACACAGGTACTCCTCAGGTATCAGCGTCATCGATCACCACGAGCCAGGGCTGGGATAAGCACCCTGCACTCAGGATCCAGTGATCACCTTGTGTGCATGCCATGCCAAGCTCTGAGCCGAGTCTTGCGAAGAGTCAGGCAGGCATGGTGTCCCTGTGTCCCTGGAGCCAGGGGGCTGTGGGGACTGGTAGCTAAGGAGGTTTCCGGAGAAAGAGAAGGGGCCAAGAGCAGTAGGGCTCTAGGTGGAGATCCCAGACTAAGCAAAGGCCTGAAAGAGCAGGGAGAGGGGCTGAGGGTGTCCACAGGTAGGCATACAGAGCCAGGAGGGCCATGAGCTGGAGAGAGATGAGTTGTCGCTTTGTGGTGAGAGAACCACTGTCTTCAGTCTGGGGAATGGAGGCCCGAACTAATGGAGTAGTCACAGGGCCATCTCAGAGCTCCAGGGGCCAGAGTAAATGTGTCGGGGGCAGCCTGCAGCCCTACACACAGGGCCCCTGGGGGCCTAGAGGACTCCTTTGCTCCTCAGTGGCAGAGAAAATTAGAATGCATTTCCATTTTGCCATTTTTCCTCCAACCAAGAAAACACAGGTGGTGACACGTGAACTAGAGGCATGTTTTGTATTGA